CTTTCTAGCAGCAGCAACAAATTTTGATCTGTTCTCAGTGTCACAGCAAGATGCCATGACCCTAAATCTACAGAGTGGGTGCTCCAACATCGACTCCTTTGGTGTTTCAACAATTTCTAAGTGGCAAATTCCATTCTCCTTGCTATGCCTAGAAAGATATCTGTTTCCTACCTTAAACCTGTCTGGTAGAATCAGATGTTTTACTTAATTAGTTGCTAGATTCAAAGAAAAATCACAATTAGTTATGGCAAATACTAAGCTACTGTTACAAAGGCTACGATGTAGTTACTGAAAGAAAATAAAAATACACTTCCCCTGCCTATCCCAGTCCAGAGATAGACACATTCTGTGTTACTTTGGATAGATATTGTGCAAAGGGTATAAACTCTTCCATTAGGCAGATGGTGGTTCCTGTGGAGCTTGAAGCAAACAAGTTTGGGAATGGGGCAAATGGAAGCTTCCCACATGAATGCTGCACAGAGAAGTTGTTCCCATACATCCAGAAAGGGCTTCCAATGGTCTATCAACATATTAAACCAAATTGGAGGAATACGAATAGAGAATGGAGGAGAGATTCTTTTAGAAAAGCGAGTCCTGCCAAACATGAATGTAACACCTACTCTCATGTCTGGCTGTATTATTAGCCAGAACTATTTTGGCTGCAAATTTTGAAAACCAAACTTAATCAGACTCTAAGGAATTTGTCGGATCACAAAATTGAAAATTGTAAGGGGTAGATTAGGCTTCAAGTACAGCTGGTTCTAGGATCTCAAATATCGTCTTCAGGACTCCATTTCATTCTTTCCATTTCAGTTTTATTATTCTCTTTTAAATCCATACCAAATCAGTATCTCCTGAGTTGGTAACATGGTGACAGAAAGCAATTACACACCCTCAGCTACTCAAGAAGAGACAAACTTTTTTTCAACAAAAGTCCTAGAGACATGGAAGCATGGAACAGACTGAGGAATCTCAGATGGAAGGGGGGAGAGGGTGCAGGAAGAGATTTATCAAAGAAGTTATATCCGCATATGCATCCCATGGACACAGACAATAGTGTGGTGAAGGCCTGTGGGTGGGGAGCAAGATGGAGGGGTTCAATGGGGGATAAAAAGGAGACATCTGTAATACTTTCAACAATAAAGATAATTTTTTTTAAAAGTCCCAGAACTGAAGGAAATGATTTGAAAAAGGTCATGTACTCATCTCTGAATCATATCCTGGGCAAGGGTATACTTTGATTTGGTGAAGTTTTTATTTTGAACACCAGGGTAAAATAAGCTCTAACAAAACATGTAGAATGACATTGGACAACTAATTTTTTCACATGAAAATTAATATGTTCTTACTAGAAGAAGGTGGTATGGATATTAAGTAGCTAATCGTTTTTATAAGTTCATCTCTACCTAGATAGTCAGTACACTTAAAATATATACACCATTTAGTTGTAAGTTATATCTTGCAATTTTACATGTTAATTGTTAATTTTGGCATCAGATAGTGTTGTTGAATAAAAACTTTTCTATACCAAGTGTAGAAAATAACGTATGATGGGTGCATGATAAACATTTGTTGCATTTGCAAATGGATTTGCATTTATCAGTTAATTTATCAGTTATCTATTGCCATATTTTAAAATATCCCAGGATACTATGTCTTAAAATAACAGCCCATGATTTATTTGCTCATGACTCTGTGGGTTAGCCATCTGGTCAGAGTTTGGGTAGAACATCTCATCTCTGTTGTCGATTGGGCTCACTCATGGATTTGCAGTCAGTTCCCACCAGGTGGGTAAGTTTCAAAAAACGTAACATTTTTCTGGCTTGTCTCAGAAGACCTTACTCACGCGCTTAGATTTTTTGTGGAGATATAAGGGATGACAGGCCACATATTCTGCTTCATCCTGCAGATGGACCGCAGGCTTTCTCGTTGTGGTGACTGTTTTAAAAGCATCAAAACAAGGAAGGCTCTAATGCACAAACACTTTTAAGCCTGCACTTGCATAATGTTTGCCATTATCCCATTGACTAATGCAAATCACAAGGACTGGGAAATAGACTGCCTCTCAGTAAGAGCTGAGAAAATATTATGGCCTTTTGATTTTTCAATGTATCATAGTCCAACCTATGACCACAATCATTTGCATTTCTCCTGTTTGGAAAGTAACTCAATCTCCCAAGACCAAAAAAAAAAGAAAGAAAAGAAAAGAAAAAAACTACCATCACCATCACCACTACCAAAAAACACCAAAAAAATCTCAACATGTTTTGCAATCAATTCTCCTGTTTGGAAAGTAACTCAATCTCCCAAGACCAGAAACAAAACACAACAAACAAACAAACAAAAACTACCATCACCACCACCACCAAAAAACACCAAAAAAAATCTCAACATGTTTTGCAATCAGGTCCCAGATCTAGTATTTCATGATCTATATGTGGTCTAAGATGGATGTGGTTCCCAAGATTCATCTATTAATTCAGTGACATGAAAACTAAGAATGTTCTCGCCCTGTACATGGACAGAATAAACACATTAGATACTGCCATTTCAATAAAGAAGAAAGAGAAGACCCTGGATCATAGCAATTGTGAATCTGAGCCAGGTTCATGGTATCAGGTCACTATATTTGGTGACAAAATTTTTCTTAATTGGAGCTGGCACCTGTCCTGCCAGTAATTCACAAGTCTGCTTTTCTCCCTGGTTCTCAGCTCTGCCCTTGGAGTAATACTCTTTTGTAGAAAAAAAAAATCCAAGTTACTTGCTCAGCTTGTTTTCTATCTCTAGAAAACTGAGGACCCAAAAATACTTTTCAAGTTGAATTAGCTCTTTTACTTTTTGTGTAAGTGGCGGTGCTTTGATTTTTACTACTTTTTAAAAAATTCTATGGGTTTACTATGAATTCACAAAAGCCATGTCCACGTTTGCTAATGTCACATTGGCTAAAGCAAATCATATGGCCAAACCCAAATTCAAAGGGTGAAAAAATAGTTTCCACTGCCTGATGGAAGGAGTTGCAAATCTTTATGAGCTTTTCACTAAATCTACCACAAAATAGGAGGTCTCAACATTTGCTAGAAATTGCTTATATTTATTTACCATAAGTAAAAATGCCATTTTGTGCTATTAAATTCCTAATTCTTTATGAACATCAACTTTTCCCCAAGACAAAATTACTGCCAATTAGCATCTGGAATTAAATTAAATCAAGCAAGCAAACAAAGACAGGAAAAGAACAAAATATATGTGGGATGTGTAAAAGGTTTAGGCATGAGACTCATAAAAGGAGAAACACTTTCCAAAATCCCATTTCCTAGACATAGTCTCTAAATAGTTTCAGAATAAGATTCCAGAGCCCAGGATTCTAAACCAAGCATTAATACTGACCTCAAATGTTGTGTCTAAAATGAAGATTTCTACACAATTACAAACGAATCCAAAGATGCCCTTGCAAGCCTTACCGTTATCGTAAGAGGTGACAGTGACTCTTTGTGTAAAGGGAATATTTGTTTTTAAAAGTCTGCCCTGCAGTGTTGAGATTATAATGCATGCATTTACAATAGTGCACTTCCCTACCATGAAGCAGTTAGAAAGGATGGTGGAAATTTCTGCAAGCCAATAAACGTTCTCAAGTCTATCCTGAAGGGTCAATGTACTTACGCAGTTTCTATAGAAACCATATTTCAATAACTCAATATCTAAAATAAAATCACCTTGAAGCAAACTAAAAATATACTGTTTATTTTATTATAGCACATAAGCTTTAGAATAATCATTCCATGAAATAAAAAATATAAAATGCCTCATTTTTTCCTAAACTTTAGTGAATATTATGGAATATGAAAGTTTTTTTAAAGAGCTTGTTAAATATCACAATACTTTTCTTTTCTATTCCCTCAATACTTTTAGTATTTTCTGTCTTGAAATTGTGGTGAGAGAGGAGGCGTGGTGGCTAATGGAAGTGGAGGAGAAGTTGTACAGAAAGAACAATCTACCCTCTGAACTTCATACTCAGGGGAAGAAATCTATGTACAATAATTTGAAAACAAACTAAGACATAAATATGCCAAATTTTATTTAGAACTTAATTTGATTCAAAAAACATGAATGTAACACCTACTTACTCTTTGCTAGGCCCTGTGCTTGGTTCTGGAAAGAATGTTAAAATAGTATTTTAAAATAGTATTAATAGTTCAAGTGGCATAGCTCAGTGATTGAGTATTGACCTATGAACCAGGAGTTCACAGTTTGATTTCAGGTCAGGGCACCTGCCCGGGTTTCGGGCTCAATTCTCATGGGGGGGGTGGGGCATGCAGGAGACAGCCAAACAAGGATTCTCTCTCATCATTGATGTTTCTATCTCTCTCTCCCTCTCCTTTCCTCTCTGAAATCAATAAAAATCTTTTAAAAAATAGTATTATAAAATTTTTAAAGGGATGATTAAAAATTAACCTACAAACAAAAGCCTGCACACAAATGTTTATAGAACCTTTATTCATCACAACTGCTAAAACTTGGAAGCAACCAAGATGTCCTTCAGTATGTAAATGAATAAATAAACTGTGGTACATGCAGACAATGGAATATTTTTCAGCACTAAAGAGATAAGAGCTACCGAGCCATGAAAAAGACATGGGTGAAGCTTAAATGCATATTATTACTGAAAGAAGCTAATCTGAGAAGGCTACATTCTCTATGATTTGAACTATGTGACATTCTGGAAAAGGTGAAACTATGGAGACAGTGAAAAGATCAACCAGGGGATCAGGAAAAATAGCCAGGGAAGAATAAAAGAAGCATAGATAATTTTTATAGCCATGAAAGTACTCTGTATCATACCATAGTGATGGATACATGTCCTTTAATATTTTCCCAAATTCACAGAATGTACAATGGCATAATGTAAACTATGGACTTTGGATATTATGATGTGTCCATGTAAGACCAGTCATTGTAACCAATGTACCACTCTGTTAGGAAATGATGGGGGAGGCTGTCCTAGGGGGCAGGAGGTATTTGGAAAATCCCTGTACATTAATTCCCTTCAATTTTCTGTGAACTTAAATTTTCTCTTAAAAAGATAGAACTGGAGAGAAGGAAGGGAGGGAGGAAAGGAAGGAGGAAGGAAGGAAGGGAGGAGGAAGAGACTATGCTCATCATATGTATTCCCCATAACATCTAGCACAGTGCCAGGTACATGGAGGTCCTTGATATTTATGGAATTGTGTAATTTTATTCAAAAGAGCTGACTAAATTAAAAGGAACATTCTACCTTCTAATTTTATCTGTTTACTATATACCTGTAGAGTATCTCTCAAGAATAGTACATAGAGTGATTTCTTTACATTCTCACTCTAATATGCTACTTATCACCTTTTTTCCTCTGGAGTATATAACATAGCTGGTTCCCGTCCCTCACTGGCTACAGTCCACAAACCCTCTAACCTTCCTAATGATCTGTGACCTAATAATCCAATATTTCAGCCACTTAAATATGCTATTAGTTGCTGTTTTGCGAACAAAATACATCCAATGGAACCTGTTTATATTTTATATTTGTTTTTAAATATCCATGTACCATTATGTCAGCACATACTTTTTATGTTCCCCTTTCAGCATTTCTGAAATTAACAATAATGTGTCGGCAATTAATTTTATATATATATATTTTATTGATTTTTTTACAGAGAGAAAGAGAGAGGAATAGAGAGTTAGAAACATCGATGAGAGAGAAACATCGATCAGCTGCCTCCTGCACACCCCCCACTGGGGATGTGCCCGCAACCAAGGTACATGCCTTTGACCGGAATCGAACCCGGGACCCCTCAGTCCACAGGCCGACGCTATATCCACTGAGCCAAACCGGTTAGGGCGGCAATTAATTTAAGATTTAAGGCACCTGCTGGGTGCTTTATGCCATTTACGGTTTCAGAGAGTAGAGGTTAACATGTATACAATATAGAAAGATTTTTATTTCTTTGCTGTTGCTCTCTTTTTTAAAAATTTTATTGCCACATCAAATTTATAGTATATATTCCTGAGCTATAAAAATGCCTCTTTCCAAACAATTGCATGTGCAGTTTTATAAGGTGCACCAAGGGTATTTCTCCTTCTGCATAATTTTGATAATCACTCTGTCCTTAATGCATGAAGGAGTTCTTTTGTATAATGGATGTTGGAATGTGTTGATAACTGTAACAGACAGTTGTTAAATTGAGCATACATTTAGACAGCAATTTGTAGCAGCTATAACTACACTACCTAGTGTGCTAACTGAAGAAACTGACATATTTCAAGAAGGGTGCTCACTTGTAATTCATCAGATATTAAACGACAAGATTGGTTTAACACATCCTCTATATCTCATCCTGGTTGACATGCAACTATTTTACTTGTCCTGGAGTGCAAATCAAAATGGCATCCACTGCTGTGCTCACATTTCAGATAACCAAGGCTTGCAAGAACGGAACAAATATTGTTAAGTGTGGGTTATTACAGCACTCGCTTTCACCCTCCTTACCATCATTAAATTAGTCAAAAGCATGGACTGGGATCATGACATGCTACTAAGTGCTCCATGCCTTTTAGGAAACTAACAAGAAATCTGAATTAACAATCCTCTGCATCAATACCCCCCATCCAACCTACTTTGATAGATACAGTACAGAAATTCTTAAGCACTAGAAGAGAATTATGCTGTTTATGTTTTCTTTCTTGCAACATAGGGATATCCTCCCAAAGAGGAAAATAGTAAAAAGTAAGGCAAAAATATTGAAAGCCATGACATGACAAACTGCACTCCATTGCTCATAAGATTGTGGGCAGCTCGGGTACTAATAACAACACCAACACCACCCCTAGTGTTTGAGGAAATTGTCCCTGAGGCTTTTCCCTATCAAAGACTGTTTGTTTGTTTGTTTTTTAATAAATTTTTATTGATTTCGAGAGGAAGGGAGAGGGAGAGAGAGATAGAAACATCAAATGATGAGAGCGAATCATTGATCGGCTACCTCCTGTGTACCCCCTACTGGGGATTGAGCCTGCAACCCTGGCATGTGCTCTTGACCAGAATCAAACCTGGGACCCTTCAGTCCACAGGCCAACACTCTATCCACTGAGCCAAGCCAGCTAGGGCTCAGAGACTGGTTTGTCTTCACACATGCATATTTCACTGCTTAGACCTGCCTTTCTCCTCTAAGGAACTACTCATTCTTTAAGTACTTTCTATAGGAAAGAGTAACTGACTTAAAAGCACAGAAATAATTTACTTATTCTTATAGCCCCAGTCCTTAGTGCAGCGGTTCTCAACCTGTGGGTCGTGACCCCTTTGGGGGTCGAACGATCCTTTCACAAGGGTCGCCTAAGACCATCGGAAAACACATATATAATTACATATTGTTTTTGTGATTAATCACTATGCTTTAATTATGTTCAATTTGTAACAATGAAATTGGGGGTCACCACAACATGAGGAACTGTGTTAAAGGGTCACAACATTAGGAAGGTTGATAACCACTGCCTTAGAGGATGGTATGTACAGCATACAAGTAACAACTGCTTCCTGAATGAATAATCTGAGTCAGGCAGACATGGACTTGAATTCTGGTCACAATTTAAAGGCACTGTGAGACTGAGAAAGGTTAGTTAACATTTCTGAGCCTCAGTCTTCTCATCCAGAAAATCAGGAAAATTAAATGTATCTCAAGGTCTTAGGGCTTATAATTTTAGGAGATGTCTATGTTAAAGGCTTAACACAGCCTAAAAATGGAACTCACTTTTCCTTCAGATGGCTCCTCCTCCATTTCTCTCCTTGTGATTGTTTTTTCGCCTAATGCTTCCTTCTTTGTCAAATTCCCAGAATCAGGGTCAGGCTTTCCTCAAACAAAAAGTTGAGGTGAGTTTCCCCAATACACAGTACAGTTGAACCTTGAACAACAATGTGGGATTGAACTGCATGGGCACAACTTCTGACATGGATTTTTTCAATAAATATAATGGAACCTTCCCAGCCTCAGTTGAAAACCATTTTCTCATTCCCAGCTGCAGTTTCTAATGGAGGGTTGCAAACCCCGGTGGAAAATACTGTTTTTGATCTTTGGTTAGTGGAATCTGGATATAAAGGGCCCACTGTAGGGTCAAAACTTTTACTCACGCCCTAGCCAGTTTGGCTCAGTGGATAGAGTGTAGGCCTGCAGACTGAAGGATCCGGGTTTGAATCAGGTCAAGTGCAGGTACCTCAGTTGCAGGCTCCTCCCTAGTCCAGGCATGTGCAGGAGGCAACCGATGGGTGTGTTTCTCTCACATCAATATTTATCTCTGTCTTTCCCTCTCTCTAAAAAATTCAATGGAAAAATATCCTTGGGTGAAGATTTTTAAAAAACACACACACAAAAAAACCCAAACTTATACTCAGGCTCTGGCCAGGTGGCTCAGTTGGTTGGAGCATCTTCCTGTACACCAAAAGGTTGCAGGTCTGATTCCTGAGCAGGGCACATACCTAAATTATGGGTTTGATCCCCTGTCAGGGCTTGAATGGGAGGCAACCAATTGATCTCTCTCTCTCTCTCTCTCTCTCTCTTTCTCTCTCTCTCTCCACCCTCTTTCCCCTCCCCCCTTCCTTCCTCTCTCTGAAATCAGTAAACATGTCCTCAGGTGAGGATAAAATTCAAAGTTATACTGGGATTTTAGACTGCTTGGAGTGGGAGCATCTAACCCCGGCATTGGTAAGGATCAACTGTGTATAGATAGCATTCATCACACCCTGGGCTCACAAATTGATAACAACTATTCTTAGAGGTGGACTTTAGGTGATAAAAATATTGCAAAACACAAATTTTTTTTAAAAAGTTTGCAGAGCAAGAACAGTAATATAAACAATTTGTTGTTCTGAGTATAAATTTGCATATTTTATACATCTTAAAACTCTAAACAAAAAGCATTGTTTTCATACTACACTAAAGGGAACCTAAATTATCTGTCAATTTCCTTTATGATCATTTTCCAAAGTCATTATCATATAAAGAAGGAACTAGAGAGTACACAGCAGAAAAACAAAACAAAACAAAAAAATTAAAGGACAGTTAACATTGCGTTGGCATTTATTTAATAAATGTCTTACGCTATTTTTCTGGGTTTTGTTATATTTGCGCTAGTTGTCAGGTTTTTTAAATTTCCAATCTGTTGCATTTTTTTTCTCTTTCAAAATAAGTATTCATTTTCATGCACAGTTTTAATTTTTTAATAAAGGGTGCAAATTCAGAGTCTGCCTGTAAAACCTGGTCCAATCTTACTTAATCACTTCAGATTATTCACTTGTCTGTCTCCCTACTTCAATGGGAGCCCCACGTGTAAAAGAATCACATCTTCCCTATTCCCTTCTGCATTGCACTGTCCACACTTGAGCTCAAACTTCAGACTTCCAGAGATATAATATTTTCCATCTCTTAATGTGATTATAAGGCCTCTCGTTACATCATAATCCATATCGAGTAGCTCCCTCGAGCTCTATTCACATGAAATGTCAAGATTTGACATAAAATTCTAAAATTCAATTGGCTATTGGGATGGCTCGTATGTGTGCTTGCTAAAAATGATGAGCTGGAGAGAGGTTGCTGTAGGATTTTCCAAGCATCTGCCACTTGAGGTTGTGTGGTAGAGCTGGAAATGTCCCACGCACACTGAGACGTAACTTCAAATATGTTTCTTTGGCTGCGTATCCCTGGGAAACAATGAGAGCCGACAGCATTGTGTGGAGTAATTAGGAACAGAGTGACTGGTTTGGAGATGGTCCTCAGGAAATTGTTGCAAACTGGAAGGGACACCCAAAGATCTTTGCTCTGAACCTCCCTGTCTAGTGAGAGGCGACAGATGACAGCATTACACTAACTTCTCTGAAGGGTAAAAGATGTTACACAGAACTTATCCCTGGACACCCACCATTAATCTTTATAATGATATTCCAAATAAGGTACAAAGAATGAACACATTTTATGGACAGGGAAAGTTGGATACACAGGTTTTTGTTCAAGGTCAGAAGCCTAAAAAATACAAATGTTGTTTTAAATATTTTTTTTGCCATGATTTCTTCACAATCCTATTCTCTGCCTGCTATCAGGAAGTGTTCTTTTTCCACCAAATGGTTTTTCTAGCAGAAATAAATACTTTATAAATCCATTCCTTTTGAAACTTGCCTTCAAGTAGAGTCAATCGTATTTTTAGAACATTTATGCGTTCCTACTCTAAAAAAAAATCACTTAAAGTTCTACTTATAAAGATCATATTTCTTCTTTACTGCCAAAAAGATCACAAATGCCTACAAGGCAGAAAACTTCCTGTTGAACAAGGAAGATTAGATGAGGCTTTCAAGAAAAGATTAATGTGTCTATTGAAATACAGTTGGTATTGCTTAAGCTGATGATTTTCTCAGCAACCATTGCAATGAAAGCAATATGACTTAATGTCACCAGCTTTAATGAGTGGACATTTTGGTACTATCAAAATGCATTAGGCACAGTTGTAAATAAAGTAACCATTAAGTATAACAATAAGAACCAAATGGTCATCAATAAAATAACAGAAATGGAGACTATGAAGACTTGAGAGTGCTGCTACATTTTAAAAATTCAAATTCTCAAATAAAATCATCAGAGCTTCTTTAAATTGCTGATATGGGCATAACTTACCCATCTAATTGCAAAGATTCCATTGACCAAACCGCATAAACAGAGGAGCACTTGTCCTTATTTAAGAGGGTCCGCAGACCACAAATTGCTCTGTAGTACACTGAATGTAGATAAGCCTGAAACTGCTTTATTTAGTCTTCACACACACACACACATCAAAATAGATGACCTTTGCATGTTTAAACATTTTAGACCCAATTTTGTTTTCAGGGAGCTCTAGATTACAATATGATTATGATTACATAGATTTCTAAAACCTCAAATATCTCTGGTTATCTCTTGGGATTTTTCTTCTTCCCTGTTTTTTCATATACTTAACCAGTACTCAGATAATCACAAAGGGTCTGAAATGTCTTTCTTGCTTCTCAGGCTCTCCATTTTATAAATCATTCAAGTTCCTTAAATTAAAATACCACCATGTCCTTAAAACTCTCCCACTCTCCCATTACCTCCACCAGCACTATCCCCAATAGAATTGATTTCTCTTGACAAATGGATTTTGGCTGATGGCCCCCAACTTCCCACTGAAATGCCGACAGATACCTGAACATTTGAATGCACATAAACAGAAACACTCACAAAAATACCCCAAACTCATTTTGACTGGCAAACTACTCTCAGAATCTGAGCAGTATTTTCATAAAATTTAAGACAGATGGTACCAAGTTAAGGAAATCTATCACAGGCTGCTGGCTCATGAGGCCCCTTTATAAGCCAGAGTAGCCCCATCTACCTGAGAGTGGAAAGAAACTGTGTTGCTTATGCATTTGCTGGCTTTTCGCTCATTTGTTCATAAAGAGATCTGTAATATAACAAGACAGACAAGTCAACAGAATTCTGGGTGGGGCTGAGAAGGCAGGCTGGCTTGGTGCTTTAGCTCCTCATGAGAGAAAAACAAAATAAACACCAGGATGACATTTCTCCTTTCACAGGAGTGTAGGTAGAATGATAATTCATCAGAAGTATAGACTTTCAGAAACCAGTATAGAAGGGACAGAGCCAGAGAGAAACCGCTGAGGGTCACAGAGAAGGGCGATGCAAACTTTTTGAAGATAAAGAGGAAGGCTTCCAGTCATAATCCCATCGATGGAGGGGAAGAGGAGAAATGTGAGGAACTGGTTTCCCAAAACAATGGTTTTGTCGCGTTCCCTAACCAAGAGAGAGAATCATGTATGGGCCAAACAATAGAAACCTATCACAACATCATCAGTGAGAGGCAAGGATCCGTGGCCTATGTGTAAAAAGCAGAAATCACAGGGCTAAAGAGGAGCAACAGGAAGCATGATAATGTCATTGGGTCATACAGACAACAAGCTGATATAATCAGGGAGTAAAGTGGGAAGTTCAGTTCAAAAAATTAAAATATCAAAATTCCCATAGAAATATTTAATGGTGAAAATGGACACTGAAACAGTGAATCACTGGGGGTGGTTTGTATGTCAGTTGGGAGCGGGGGAGAAGGATTATGAGGATGAAATCATGGAAGAGATGTTGACAGATGTGGAGGGGAAAAAAACACCCAACACCAAGATACAGCCCCCAGAGGAAGCCAAAACAACTGAACAGAGGAAGAAAATATTACATATTTGAGGGAAAATTTCTAGCAAGTAAAACATGTCCAAAGATGGTAGATAAAAGGCGATCAGAACATTTCAGGCAAGACACAAAAAGAATAAGACATCTAGACATTTCATGTGGGGAAATTTTAATTATAATAATAGAGAAAAATCCTACACTCAAACATGCAAAGTAGAAAAGACATAGAAAGATGTGTAAAAGGGACAACATCGAGCTGCCTCAGATTTTCCAATAACATTAAATAAATACCAGAACGTACTTAAAAACCATCCCCAAAACTGTGATGAGAGAGAAGTTTGTGATCCATACATTTTTATAGCCTCCAATTTTTCATTGGTATGTAAAGTCAAAAGAAAAGAATTCTAAAATAATGCAAAGTCTCAGAAAAAGAAACCACCCACATGGCTACCCAGGGGAAAAAGAGCTGAAGACATTCTGTAGCTAACATTGAAGTGAGTTAAAACCAAGAGCTCAATAATAGGCAAAGAATTTTAGAAAACAGATGACAGTTAACACAGAAAGTGGTAAAAGGATAATATTGGATCTCTATGGTAAATAACACCAACCAAAGGAAACCATCAAATACAATTTTGAGAGACAACAGAAAAGTAATCATTGATAGCAATAAATGTTATCCAAATTAATATGTTAACATAATTGGATGATAGTAGGCAGCAAAGTATGCTAAATTCTGTTTCATACAAAAGGCAGAAAAATACTTTTTTAATTTGCTTTAATAATCATAGAAATAAAGTCTAAACAGAGGCATGGATACATGGAACTGACAGCAATCAGAGAAGTATTAAGTAAAATTAAAGATGTAAAACAATCAAATTAATGCTAAAAATAAAGAGAAATGATTAAAATTATTAAAGGACAGGGAACCTTTTCAAGGTAAAATATAAGAAATGTGCCCAACCGGCATGGCTCAGTGGTTAAGCATTGACCTATGAACCAGGAGATCAGGATTCGATTCCCAGTCAGGGGACCTGCCTGGGTTGCAGGCTCGATCCCCAGTGTGGGGCATGCAGAGGGCAGCCAATCAATGTTTCTCTTTCATCATTGATGTTTCTATATCTCTCTCTCCTTTCCTCTCTGAAATCAATTAAAATATTTTAAAATAAAAAAAAGAAATGAGTAAATGTCACATCTGAGGTCACAGCGGCAAGCATTTGCTGATCGCCAGGCCTATTGTCACTACTTACAGGTACTGATGCAGTTAGTCTTCACGGAAAACCTCTCAGACAGAGCTACTTTTGTTCCCATTTTACAAATGAGGAAACTAAGATATAAAGGGAATAACTGCCTGAAATCTAATAAATGTTGCAGAAAGTTAAAATTAAAAATGAACAAATATACACAAATGTCAACAGAAATATTGGCGAGATGGCAATACTGATTTCAAAAAGATCCAAGCATTGTCACACAAACAAAGCCACCTTCAAATGTTAAGGTAAACAATCATCAACATTTTTCCTCTAGTTATCAAAATGTTAGAAAAACTAGAAAAGACTTGGAGGCTACTGTTGCAGGAAAAGGCTTTAATATACTTCTCTTTGCCTTTGACAAATCAAATAGTCAAGAAATAAATGTCAGAAACAGTTTAATGAATGTAAGGCAAACTATTACATTTAACCAAACCCTAGCTTTTCCTTTCAAATATCATATTTTTCTTTAGGATATTTTGAAAGTGGGGGGTGGGAGGAGGCAACTTCCGGGCATTGTTTTTGGGGATTTTTATAGATAATCATATGTATACACACAAAAGTATTTAAAATGAAATAAACGCTATACAATTTGACTTTGCTTAGTGGGGTATGAGTAGATTTTAATAGTATTCTTTGTATTTTAACATTCTCTAAATTTTTAATATATTCATTAAAAGACTTCTTTAATCAGTAAATTTACCCACCTAATATTCATGCATCCAAAAACTCCTGATTGAACACTAGAGTAAGTGTCTGAATTGGGCTACTAAGTGGAGACTGACCCTGAGGGAAAATATTCATAAGCAAAGGAAAAGAATTCAAGTTCCTTTATTGTCAGTAAAGGATTCATGAACTTGACTCTCTGAACACAGCTGTACAAACCAGGGGGCTGAGTGGAATACGCTTTATTGGAAGGCAAACATCCCTAATCACCAATTCCCAAGAAGATAGCCCAGTGCAATCGCCACTGCCTGAGTGGGGTGAGAATTTCGTCAGGTGCTTTGAGAAGCTCCATTTGCCATTCCCATGGGATTTTTGGGTGCCCTCTTGGCCTCTCCCGGCTGCTCTGTAGACTCTGGCTGTGTGCCTATCTGGTGAAAGTAACTGTCAACAGCTCCACAATCCCCTGAGTGCTTACTCTGAAAGGTATAATAAAGGGGATAATAAAAGGCAACTTCGGGGCAGTTTCTGAGGTCCGCGTTACCCTGGCAGGCCC